GGGTCAAATCTAACTCATAGCAAATCCTATAAAGGATTTCCAAGAAGAGGAGTGACTGGTAGGTTTGAGACACGGACCTTGAGGAGGTAGCAGCCCAGAACTTACCTACCAGGGGACCTCACAGGAACCATAAAGATGCCTGAAATATACAAAACCCAAACCCAAACTCACTGCCACTGACTTGATGCCAACTCACAGAGATACTATAGACCAAGGTAAAACTGACCCTGTGGGCTTCCAAGACTGTACCTCTTTATGGTCATAGAAAACCCCATCTTTCTCCTACAGAGCAGTTGGTGGTTTTAAACTGCTAACCTGTCATTAGCAGCCTAGTGCATAACCACTATGACACCAGATTACCTACATCCTTGGGAAATTATCAGAAAGTATTCAATGGAGGCTTAATCTATGTGGAGACCCTGCAAATGGATTTTGGGCATCACTGCCATCCATAGCCTTTTGCAAATGGGGGTGCTCAGAATTTAAGCTCTAGTATACCCTCAATCATTTCACACTCTCACCATTTAACTTTCACACACACACAAAGGCAATTAAGAGTGTAGCTTCCTATTAAAAAAAAATGCGCTGCCTCATCATCTCCCAGCTCCATACTGACAACATTCTTTCTTCTTTCCTTTCAATTTCATAGGACAAACTGTTCCACTTCATATTCAAAGCCAGCTACGTTTGTGATCCACTTATTGTTCCAAATTTCTCTTTCACTGACCCACTGATACACTAATAACCCCGTATTCTTTAATGATTTTTCCCCAACATTAGTAAAGTATAATCAATATGGAACAAACTGTAGATTTAAAGTATAAATTTTATTGATTTTTTTAATATAGGTACATCCATGCAATCTCCATGACAATATAACAAACACTTCCATCATATCCAAAAATTCCTCATACACTTTCATATTACATCCCTGTCTCCATGCTCATTCTGATGCATGTTACTACAGATTAACTCACTCATGATAGAAACTGAATTATGTAATAAAGAATTTAATCTTGCCCAAAGAAAGTCTGACTTCGGAGGCAGAATCGCTATGCTCTTGAAATGCCATGCCTTGTATGAGTGAAGGCTTTGAACTGTGCCAGGACTTCTAACGATGTGATTTAAGACTGGGGGTTTGGAGGAACAAGGTATCACTCCTACTTCCAGAGGGCTGGAGACTAAGGTCGGTGAGTTAGTCTGGGTAGACTAGAGAAACAAATTCCGAGACTAATACGTGTATAAGAAAGAGGTTTATATACAAGAACAATTGAATATTGAGAAAACATCCCAGCCCAGTCCAGATCAAGTCCATCAGTCCGATAGTAGTCCATACGTCCAATACCAATCTATAAAGTCCTCTTCAGACTCAGGAAACACATGCAATGTCATCAAATGCAAGAAGATCACAGGCCGGTGGGTGGGAAGTCTTGTGGATCTAGTGGTGTTGTAAGCATCTCAGCGCTGGCAGGGGTCTCAGGTCCAGGGTTCCTCCAGGTCCAGGGTTCTTGCTGCCATCAGCATAGTCCCATGTGTCTTGTAAGTAGAGTCTCTCATGGAGTCTCCCACCTCAAAGGAGGAACTACAGGAGTTCCCAGAATCCTTAGGAGAAGGTCATGCCCACACAGAGTCCTCATTGGTTATGATCCAATTGACAGACTAGACTCCACCCCTTCACTCTTAATCCTCTCAAGTCCCAAATTGACACCAGATTTTATAACTATCACAGTTGGTCTGGAAATTTGGAAATTTTCTATACTTTTCACTATGAAGAGGTACAATAACTAAAGTGAAAGTTCAGTGAAG